ATATATATATATATATATATAAAAGTTTTCTTTTTAATGTCCACATTTATTTTTTAATTTAATTCTTAAATAAAAAATAAATAAAATAATAATTTTACTGATTTTACTATTTAAGTGATTTTTTTAAATTGTAACTGTTTTTTTATTTGATCATTTTTTTAATCTTAATTATTTTTTAATTAAAAAGTTATCTAAATAATAAACAAAAGCTATTAACAATAAAATTATAAAAGTTATTTATATTTAATTTAATAATTATAATAATAATAATAATAATGATTTTATTAATTTTTATTATCCTAAAAAGAAAGTGTTTCACCCATCTTTATAAAAATAATAAAAAATATTAAATTTTAGAGTTAAATATGATTTTGATTTTTTAACTATTAATAAAATTAAAAGTAAAGTTTATTTAAAACTTTTGAATTAAATTAGTCTCATCTTTATTATGGTATGAATTTAATTTTTTTAACTAAAATTTAGTAAGTTTATTTGATATTTTAAATGTATTTATTAAAATTTTAAAATATATTAATTCTAAATTTTACTGAAAATTAAATTACACCAAAAATATATCTAACTGTAAAATTTTAAAATTTAAACAGCAATTAATAATTTTTGAAATAGAGAGATGAAAAACATGTTTTAGGAAAATTGGAAGGAAATAAAACATATTTAAGTCATTAATAAATTAGGTGAGGATATATAGCTTAGGTGTGTATGATGTGGCTTCTGCAGGCTGCTGGTTGGGGGATGCCATCTAAAGTCTCATCTGCTCCTTGCAGCCCGAGCACTGACATGGGATGTTGATCTTTCCTTCTCCATTGTTACCTTGGTGGGGCCCACCCGACATATTCACATGCATAATGTTACTGATAGATACATTCATACATAATTCATATTCATATTCTTTTTATCTATTTACTGTCACGAAAAGTAACCTAAACTGCTATACTAGCTACAAGGAAGGAATGTAGTAAGGTAAACCAATAGGTGGAGGAATAAAGAATATGCATGTCAGTGAATAATGGAGTGTCTCAATAATTAATGTGTCCATCCAACTTTATCTATTCTACTCTGACCTAATTAGGGCATCAGGAAAGGTATATATTAATGGCAAAACTGATCACAACATTTTTAGAAGCATATATAATATATTCCTTATCAACATCTTGTGGAATACAAGAAAACTTTGTTTCTGTTATGTCAAGTGTGTTTAGTTCAGAATATCTATGTTAATTTTCTGTTACTTATTTGAAGAGGTTAACACATTTAAGCAACCAGTTAAGTTGGAAAAAAGAGAAAGGAAACTATAGATAGATAATTATAAATGTAATGAGTAACATAGCAAATAAAGTAGAATGAGATAGAAAAACCACGTAGGTGATTATAATTATTCTCTTCTAAAAGATATATCAGTAAGTATTACATCATGCACAAGAAATGAAACTATTACGACAAAACAAGAAGCTACGAACCTATGGAAAAACATTCAATGCATGAAACAAAAAGTAAAGGAGTAACAAGGGCTAATAAATGAGGTGGTTATACGAGGTTTTAAAAGTGATTAGTCTAAAGATTATGTTAATAAAGGATATAGGAATTAATGTTAAGAGGGACAAAAAGGGGTGTGTGAAAGGGAAACGTTGAGTATATCAACGATGGTGAACAAACAGTATAGAGAATACAAGAAGTGATCAAATCCAAGAAGTAAAAGAGGTTGTTGTCGGATAAGCACATCGCTGTCTGGTTTTTGATTCCCCTGAGAAATTGGTGTCGGCGCCGGCTGCAGTAGTATACGTATGAGAGTATTAAGTAACAGTTGTTTTCCCCTTTGAAAATGATTGCATACCCTTCTTTTCCTTTTTCCACCAAACACACCATTATTTCCACCCTTCAACCCTCACCAACATATTACCACATTTCTCCTCTCACTATCCTTTTCTCCCCACTTTTTCCAACATTATAGTTGTAATCAACTCTTCTACTTCTTATTCCCTTACCCTTTTATTCCACTTTTCCATGCATCATTAATATATACATACATTACCATCCATAAACTTTTAAGACAAACATTGATTTTTACCGTATACACATATTAGGATGCAGAAGGTGTGAAAGCACAGGCTAGGACGAAAACTACAGTGAAATTGATTTGAAAGGCATAGAAAAAGCCATGAGTTTTGAAAATTAATTGTCTGAATAAGAAAAGAGAAAATAAGTGATTTAATTTCTGAAGAAAGTGTCTCCCGTTGTAGACAAATGTACAGGCACTAATTTATTCTCTGGTCTCTCAAAGGTCACGATCTTTCTCACTTCTCATTTCCATTCCATCTTCTACCTCGGGCAACACAACACATTATATTTTATTTATTTATTTAGCAACAAAATAAAAATGTACCATTGTGTTTCTTTGGTAGGATCCCATTCTTCCACAACAGTTCAAACTTTGCTCCCTCATTCCTCACCCGACTGCCTCTCACGTACACAATACGCACACACTAATTTCTACCTAAAAAGCTGCCCAACAATACACCGTACCTAAACCACCACAACGACAACGGACACTTCACACATCATCGTTACATCACCCTCTCCCCACTCCTTAAACCTCTTCATTCTCCACACACCAACAACATTATTCATTACAAACAAAAAAACATGCTTCCCTTCCGGAGATTCTACGGCTTCCAGAGTTGGCTAGACCACGACTCTACCCACGTCCCCAACACTTTCATTAAACGGTCAGTGGAGTTCGACGGCGCCAGATCAAAAGCCGACCGCAAATCAACGGAAGCATGCAAGAGTCACAGGGAAGCCGAGAGGAGACGCAGGCAGAGAATCAACTCTCACCTATCCACCTTACGATCCCTCCTTCCTAACGCCGCCAAGGTTATCTACAAAAAAAATATGTTCATTAATTATTATACGACAACGAAACTCACTCACACGTTTCTCTACAAGAATTTCCAAAATAAAACTTTTACAAAATAAGCTTAGTAATTAATTTGTATATTTTTTTATATATCTTATCATTCTTTGTGTATAATATCTTATTTTTTTATATATATTTCATTATAAATGAACGCCCTTCTGAAAAACTGTTCAGTTGGTGTGAATTTAGTTTCTGCATGGTTGGAGAGTAATGTAGTAAATTCTGACTTTTTTTAGTCGGATAAAGCGTCGTTGCTGGCGGAAGTTGTTGAGCACGTGAAACGGTTAAAGAAGCAGGCCGCTGAAGTGGCGTGCGTGGACGGCGGCGAACCAGGTGCGGTTCGGTCTGAGGCGTGGCCGCTTCCCGGGGAGTGCGACGAGGCGACGGTGAGTTGGTGCGAGGGGGAGGCGAATAGGGTAAAGGCGACGGTGTGCTGTGAGGACCGGGCCGGTCTGAACCGCGACGTGACACGGGCAATCCGGTCGGTTCAGGCAAAGCCGGTTCGCGCGGAAATGATGACGGTTGGGGGAAGGATGAAGAGTGTGGTGGTGGTGGAGTGGGGTGAAGAGGAGGTGGAGGTTGGGGCGCTGGAACGGGCTTTGAAGGCCGTAGTGGAGAATCGGGCTTTGGTGGGCTTTGGAATGGGCCCTATTGTTTTGGGCCAGAAACGGGGTAGGGATTGTTGCGGTTCGCCTACTTCTTCTTGAGAGGAATGGGAAAATCGGCTAGCGCGTAATTAATTTTGTTTTATTTTTTTATTTGGTATAAGAAATATTTAGATTTTAGTTATTTTTCTGATTGGAGATGCCATTTTTATTTTATATAGGTAGATGATGCTTTTGGTCTGTATTAGAATCTATAATTTATACTTATAATAATCTAATTTATAAAACTAATAGAATAACATGGTAGTGTAAAGAAAGTACTATTAGCATCAATGATTAATTTCATTCTTCTTATGTAGGCTACCTATACAATGTGAGTTAACTTCACTTTCCATTCTCTTTCTCTTTCGGGCATTTTTTATACTATCAAATGTACCAATAAATGAAGATTGTTTAATTATAATTTTGAATGAGTTATAATAATAAGTGATTATTTAACTTTGGAGTATTAATTTAGCTGGGATCTCATAATTCATAATAATGCTTTTAAATGGATAGTCTTTAGAGAGAGAAATAAAATAAAATCTCCTTATTTTGGGTTTTAAAATTTAAAAGGATGCAAAAAAATATATGGCAATGTAATGCTTTACTTCTAAAGCAAAACATATGTTTATGTAGAATTTTAGAAAAAAAATGAAATCTTAATATAATATGGAAAAGCATTTAAGGTGATATGATCATAAATGGGGCAACAATGAAGAGCTTTCAAAGTGACAACAAGCATAAAAAAGAGTAGAATAGGTTTCATAGGCGTGTATTTGCCTCTTTGATTTCTTTCTCTTAGTTCTTGTGAATAAACGCTTATAAACTCTTCTTTCTCTTTAAGAACAAGCAATGTGGGACTCTCCATGGCTTGGTATTAAAAAGAAAAGAAGAGGAAATGGGCGTCCTAGGCGTGTAGCATTAGATAGCATAACTAGTTTTCATGTTTTGAACTATAGGAGAACTAGTTACCTTATAAACCCTTTGGAGTGGAGAGAATTGAGCATTGTGGGACTCAAAAGTCCCTAGAGGAACTACAACAGCTGTTGGACGGCCTCCAAACTCATAAGTCCCACATCTCCTAGATCTTGCATCCTAGCTCACTCCAAAGGTTATATAAGAAGGCTTAGGGGTCTCCTTTTTGTACCTTACCTTGATTCAATGGATTTGAGTTGATTTGCACTTTTGCAATCCTCTTTGAGATAGAATTTTGTCTCTAAAGTCCCAAATTTGGGCAGACCTTATCTTGTTCAAGCAAGTGGCGGTCCTCCTCTTTTCAAAGATTACATGGATCCCCAACAAACATACAAGGTTTATTTCACCATTTTTCATTCATGGTGGAACCTAGATAACAAAATTAAAGATGAAGATAAACCAAGAAGGTGAAGAGATATCCTGACATCAAGATCCTCCTTCAAAGGGGTGAAGAGAGAGTGTTTTGCTTTCGTTTTCTGCCAAGATACAACCCCTAAGACATCTAGGTCGTTAAATAGCCCTAAAATATAGAAACGGTTCCAAGCCCAAACATTCATAAAAACGCAGAAAACTGGCCAAAACTCGTATGGTTGACTTTTTCCGTATTCCTGGTTGACTGGTTGACTTTTGGGTTGACTGGTTTGACTTTTTTGGTTGACTGGTTGACTTTTTCCCTGGTTGACTGTTTGACTTTTCCTGGTTTCGTGGTTGACTTTCCTGTTCCATTCTCTCCTTCTTCACTTTCTTTCACTAAATTCATTCACCTTAAAACCGCACCAAACACTGAAATCAACATAACCTGTCCAGCGCCTCTTTTTTGAAAATATGGATAAAAGCAATGATTGCAAGCTAGTTTCTAGTGTAAGGTTGCCTTTTTGTGTCATTTTATGCATGAAATAACAAAACAGTTTTTCACTGTTATCAAGTGCTCCCCTTTGCTTTCGCGTCCTTGTCCACGTTACTAATGGAGTCAGTTGATGTGCATTTGTTGAAAGGCCTTTATATCCATATCCAGTCAAGTTTGCTAAGCACTTTCTTGATGGCTACTTCGTACTTCCAGTGGAAGAAAATTGCTTGAACCTACAGAACATGGTGTTCTAATGCAACAGCAAGCAAACACGTTCAAAACAAAACAATTTAGAAAAAATTAAAACGCAACAAACTTTCGCGCAAACAACAGCCAACAAAGGGTTTTTCACACTCCAAATAGCACCACAAATTTAGGCTCAAACTCACGTTTAGTGAAACCAAGCAGATCACTCTACTCCCATGCAACTCTTCTTTCACATATAATGTCTTCACACGTCCCCACGTTGATACACCAAGTCAATTCCAAAGCAAATGGAAAGATTACAATCCACCCTCAACAAAGCAAGCCAAATCAAACAGCACATGGTATAAAGTCCAAAGAATGAATGAAAACTCAGACATGAATGAAATAGAAACCTAAAAACTTATAAACTTGGCAATCAAAAAGAAAAGGAGGCAGCAATCTAATTTATTTTATGAGACAAAACAACACGAAAAATGAGGCAAAACGTGTCACAAATAACAAGACACAATAAACATTGACACAACTAAGAAACCATGACACCCAAAATCTATGCATACATGAAGAGTAAGATCTAGCAACGGATGGAATTAATTTGGCAAACTTCAAACCTATATATTCTGTAATTTTATGACAGAAGAGGCTGCAAAATTAGCTATCAAACACACCAAAACAGTGGCAAACTTCTTCAGCCAGACTAGCACAAAACAAACAACCAAATTTTGGTGTTGGTTTTGATTTTTATTTTAATCAAACAAAATTGATATCACTAGTCTCGGCCAAGGAGGACTTAATTGAGTATGTGTATTTGATTAAGCTAAAATTGGATGTAATTAATGCCTCTACTAATACAGAACATACAAGCAAATTACACACTTAAATCCTAGGTTTGATCAAACTCAATTCAGCATACAAGAACCAAGATGCAACAAGACTCTTAAGAAGTGCAATTTCAAGAATTATTTGCTAGAAAACTCCTAAGGAGGAAACACATATGACTCAAAATCAAAGCTAAGCAAGCAAGAAAGACGCAAATAAGCCATCCAAGACAGATTCTAAGCTGGAAAAACAAACAACGGAAATAGGACACCGACTTGTGGTGGAAAACCTCCAATACCATTGGTTGCTGTTTGAAGAAATGATGGCTTGTATAATGCTCGGACAACTAACGGATCTCACAACCCACTCCAGCTGTTATATGAATGTTTTTACAAAAATCCTTGCTTAGAGTATTTGGTAGCCTTTAGCACCGTCCACAGATCAAATTCGCGATCAATTCAGCCACAACAAGTACCAAACAACAAGCAAACAATGCAAACAGATTAGAAGTCACACAACAGTAAGCACTGGACTGACATAGTGAGCAAAAATTTTCTGGAACACCGCACAGAACGAATTTTTGAACAAAGTAAAAATTGTTACATACAACTAGACATCCCAGATAACTTGAAAAAAAAATGCATGGCAACGGACTAGAACTACGGCCTTAAACTACAATCATACAAGTTGACTGTATTTTCACCGCAGAGGCTGGGCGGACAGAAATGGTCAGCGAAAAAATGAACATACTAAGCTTTCTCGATTTACTCCAGCATGCAATTTCCAAGAGATCAAAAACCAAGGGCTCATGATACCACATGATGGGGCAGTGCTACCTAGAGAGAATGAGACTAAATGACATTAAGAGAATGGAAAGACATTAAAAATGGAAGAAATTAAGGAAAGGAACTTAATTTGAAGATGCCGCCACTTTAAAACTTCCAAAATAGATA